AGCGTGGTGGGCCTCTAGCGCTCGCGCCCGGGGGGGGGGGGGGGGGGGGGGATTTAACAAAGCAATTGCGACAGTTTTAGCCTTAGATAATTTTTTTATGTGTAAATCTGTCTTTTAACATGTGCCCCTGTTTTGACCAGAGCTTGCACTACTTTTTCAATTGCACATGTTTTGCTCTTGTTTTACAAAAATCCACCACTGTTTTCATCTGCACTTGTTCTGCGGCTGACTGAAACTGGAGCATCACCTAACAAAACAATAGAAACTTAAGAAGTCCCCATGACCACTTCTTCAAGAAGCGACAGTTAAGCTCTTTAAGAACAACATTACACGAGCAACATAAATCTGGCACAAAATGCGTCAAATATATTCCGTGCAAGTTCAAACACTCGCAATTGCTATGATAAATTCCCCCCTGTGTGTTGTAGAACCTTAGCTGTTTAGGAGACATAGCACAGCATTCCCTGGGTAAGACACCAGACTCCCATGCGAGGTCCAAGCTCAATTCTAGCTTCTCCAGCAGCTCCAACAGATAAAGTTCCTCCCTGGTTCTTCATCCCAGACACAGCTTTCCTCTTCAGATGGCAGGACAGTTTCAGACCTGACACTGGGTCTCCATCCCTAACCACCTGCAGGCTGCAGAACTGAAAGACAGCACATCACATCATGCATTCTACCCCAGGCAAGAGCCCGGGGGGGAAAAGTCAGCACAAGGTCAGCCCTAATTATTTATGTCCTCCTCCAGAATGCCCCACTGACCATGAACCTCCTAGTGATTGGCTAGGGAGACACACCTATCCATTAAACACCATTATTGGATGCTCTGCTCTATTGGTCACACCCAGCAGTAGGCAGATACAAACAATAACAGTGAGCTCAGGGGAACCAAATGAGCACAGAACTATCAAATCAGCTTAGACTGGATACAGTTCAGCGGAATAAACATGGTGGTTACACAAACTTCCACACCTCCCATCCTGTTATTGTCCAGTCTGTATCTACATTGTGACATTCCATGGTGACTGAATTCAGGTGACTGAGTTTTCCGTGTTGCTATAAATGCCGGGGTATCTTCCTGAAATTCATTCAAAATAAGGGAAGTGTCTTGGATAAACTGAAACATCTTCAACATTACAGAACATGTCTTTGCACAGTTTAGTAACAGTCTAATTTTTATTTTTTCAGGTTTGGAGAATAGGATTACAATAAAACCAGATCATTTATACTCAGAACTTAAAGAGGAATACCCTGGGCTAGAAGGTCTGCTGCAGACTGTGGTAGCAAATGAAGAAGGAGTGATTATTCTGTCCAGAAGTTGGGCTGTTGACCTTGAGGAGAAAAGCAACCGAAATGTTGTATGCGATGCTCTGCTATTATTCTCTGGGAAGCATCCAAACCTCTGCTCTGTGGTTAAAGGAAAGGTCTCTCAAACAGAATATGAATATACACTTGGTACAGCCCGTGCCTTGAAGAAGAAATTAGTTAACTTAGGAGGTTACACCAGAAAGCTTTGTGTTATTCCGGCTGTATTGCAGCTGAATTCTGAAAACCATGCGCCTCCTTTCTCAGATATTACATATCCTGAAACATACAAATTGGGTGATTCTAAGGCTGTGAAAGAACTGCTCCCATATCTTTTAATAGTCATGCTCAGTTTTAGATCATATTTTGATGACAATATTGGAATTGAGCATTTTAATCTACTTACCACAGAGCAGTATAAACTGCTGTCCAAAAAATGTGTTAAGGGTCCTTTTTTTGTACATGGACCACCAGGAACTGGGAAGACTGTTGTTGCTCTGGAGATAATCAAGAAAATGAAAAATACATTCAACTGTTCGCCTGAAAACATACTCTTCATCTGTGAAAATCTGCCTTTGAGACAATATGTACGGTAGGTATCACGTTACACATGCTTTGTGATTTGCTTTCAGCATTATTTGTTTCATCTGTCTCTGGTATTTTGTCCCTCTCTCTCTCTCTCCATAGTTCAGTTTTTTTTCTCTGTGTAGATAGCTCCACTTTTCTTAGTTTTGTTCTAGTCTGCATCTTATCCACATTGTCTGTTGCTAGGGGGATCACATTTTCAATGGTAAGACAAGGGAGGCAGAACAGTCAAATGATTGTTCAAAGGATCCTTGATAGCTCTGGATATATTGTGTTGATACACTTGTTTTAAACAGTGTCCGCACCACTACAGTGGTAAAGAAATGCTATGCAGTAAAGGTATGCAACACCACATGAAACAGGATGAAAAGAAGGCCCTTAATTTCTGAAATAAAGACGTTGGCACCACAGTGTTCAATGTAACCACTGAAGACAATGAGTTGGCAGCCACCAAGGAAGACAAAAAGTTATTGAAAACCAGGAGTTCTACCAGCATGACTCCACCTGCTCTCAATCCATTTTATGCCCCAAAAAAGAGACTACCAAATAATAGACAAACATGCAGAAGCGTGGTTTATTTCTTTAGAGCACACTCCAAACAGAAAACCAGAGATGAAAAAACACTTTGTTGACTATGATGAAAGTGTATTACAGAAATCATGTCAAACCTGCAGCAACTCTTATGGAATGAGAGGAACTTTGGTACCTCCTGTATTTTGGTGTCTACCATCCCACAAGCCAGACCACATTAAAATGGTCTCCAACTCAAGCACTCAATATGAAGGTGAGGCTCAATGACATTCTTCTCACTTTGCCTAATCTGAACAACAACCTTATAGGAGTTTTACTGCACTTCAGACTGATGTAGAGCTCAGCTACTACAGGCTAATTCTGTTTATGGGCAAGCTTATTGACTATTTTTTTATAATAGTCCTGGCATCACACAATCCTGTTCATAGATCCAGCTGGATCCATGAGATTCATGAAAATGAATAGTGAACTTCCTTCTGAAAATTAAAGTTGCCATTTATGGCTTCAGTACATTCTGAGTCTTTGACGTTAGGCAAATAGGTTGTTCACTTTGAGTTTCTCCTTAGACTTGTGAATGAGGCGAAGCTCTTCTGATTTTCATCATCAAATTGTGTGCAAGAAAAATTACTGTTCTTTAGATTTTCCTTGGTCACGATTGAGTATTCTTTGAAAGTGAAATTTTGCCACAATCACCAAACTGAGGGAAAATTCCCTTGCACAGAGAACAGTCTAATTGCCTTTAGTAAAACCACCCCTTTGGTCATTGACTAATAAGTCAAGGAGAACAGTGGGCCAGCATGATAGGAATTATTCTCAGAAGGAGAGGTCAGTAGTGCCAGCCCCAGTAATTTTCTCATAATAGACATACTCCAGTGTCGCGATTCACAGGATGTGAGCTCACAAGCAAGCAGGTAACATGGGATCCCCCAGGGCGTGGAGTCTAAAGGGCCAGCCGGTGTTCCGTCAGGGATCCCATCACGGAAGTGTGGACTTAGCTGTGTGCTGACCCCAGATCACGACCCCCAGGTTCACCCTGCTCGCTTGTGGAGAGTACCCGTACACACACAAGATATAGAGAAGGAAGCTGCGTCCCTGGCTGCGCAGGCAAAGACAGGATGGACAGAGCAAAAGGAGATCCGGCAAACAGGTCCAAGGTCAGGTCGGGCAGCAGACAAACGTAATTTGGAGAATTTAACCAAGTAGGTACACAAGAGATCAGTCCACGGGAAGTGATGTCAGGAACTAACGCACAGATAGGGGCTCGGAAACAGAGTGTTGCTCAAGCAACTAGAATCTATTCTGAGAGGGATTTAAATAGGGAGACAAATAAGAAGCTGGACAGGAAGTAGCAGGAAGCAAGGTATATTAACCATTAGGTGATGTGGGTGACACCCATAGCTGCTAAGTCAGTGCAGCAAGAGCAGAGCACATGCTTGTAGAACCACAGGAGCAACCAGACCTACAGCAGCAAAAGGTGAAAAATGAATGCAAATGAGTGAAGCACAGATCAGCTCTGCAGGTGATCTGTGACACCCAGGATTTTATGATGCTTGTGCAGGAGATGTAACAAGCATATTGTAAGGTAAAATAATGAGATACAAACAAGTGAGGATGTCTATCCCCCCTTCAGTCTATCATGAATGCAGCTGCTAGACTCATTCACCTAACCACCCGTTCAGTGTCTGCAACCCCCCTCTGCCAATCTTTGCACTGGCTTCCACTTGCCCAAAGGATAAAATTAAAAATATTAACAATCACCTACAAAGCCGTCTACAACTCTGCCCGAGGCTATATCTCAAACCTGGCCTCAAAGTATCACACTAACCGCCCGCTCCGCTCATCCCAAGACCTCCTGCTTTCCAGCTCCTTTGTCAACTCCTCCCATGCTCGCTTCCAGGACTTCTGTAGAGTTTCTCTCATCCTCTGGAACTCTTTACCCCAATCTGTCCGTCTATCTCCCACTCTGACTGTCTTTAGGCGTTCCCTAAAGACTCATCTCTTCAGGGAAGCCAATCCCACCTCAACCTAACCACTAAACCATCACGTTCTCAAACAATTCATCCCCACACAGCCACCTCCTCATGTATCACTTCCCCCTCCCTTTTAGATTGTAAGCCCTCAAGGACAGGGCCCTCCTTACCATCTTGTCTTGAATTGTGATTGTAATGTCTTCCTTATATTGTAAAGCGCTGCGCAAACTGTTAGCACTATATAAATCCTGTATAGTAATAATAATAATGTCTAGGAATATGGGAGATCATCAGGATAACTGATTTATTTTTAATGATTGTGCTTATGTTTTCCAGGAGTAAAAAAATTTGTCACACTGTGACAAGACGGAGCTTTGAGATAAAAGGTTTTCCAAATGTTAAACACATTGTTGCTGATGAGGCTCAAAATTTCCAGGTTGAGAACGACAACTGGTTTGAAAAGGCAAAACGAATCATTGAAGACGCTGGGGGGAGAGGTGTTTTTTATGTATTTCTTGATTACTTCCAGTTATGCCATACAAAAGACACAGGTCTTCCTCAGCAGGAAAGGTGCAACATCGAAACCTTGACCAAAATAATTAGAATCCCAGAAGAGATTTATAATTATATTTTTGAGTCCATGAGGAAGATTGCTTCCGAACAAGCATTCCCTTTGATGAATGAGATCATAGAAGAGACTGAATGTTGCCATGGAGTATCAGGACACTATGAACTGTGTGATGGAATCAATGAGGCCGAAATTGTAAAGCGTGTTGCCGACACCTGCAAGGAATACCTTTCTACTGGTTATACACAAGGAGATATTGCCATTTTGTGCAGCACAACAAATGCGGCAAAAAAGTACAGACCCTTATTTGAAGAAGAGATGAAGGAGGCAACAAAGAAATTAAGAGCAAGAGTGAACCCATTAGTAAAAGCAGAAGACATAATGAAGAATGCTATTGTGCTTGACAGTGTTCGTCGCTTTTCTGGCTTGGAACGCCCTATTGTATTTGCAATTAACCCTGTTTGTGCAGATAATAGAGTTGATGATAATCTGTCTCTCTGTGCTGCCTCACGAGCTACAGCAAGTTTTCATTTATATTATGAACCATAAGGGGCGGGTACCAAAGGATTGGCAGAAGAGGTGACAGGAGGTGCACAAAGTAGTTCACTGCTCATGGGGGTGGTGAAGGGGGGGGGATACTTTGGCCTTTTCACCTTGGGTGCTAAAGTCCCCACACTGCGAATCATTCATTATCATTGAACATAATAATTTATACATTTATTAACTTAAATATTACTATGAATTTGATCTACGATTTTCCTGTGTATAAGCCAGTTTTATTGCTGTTTCCTGTCCCACTGACTACTTACCAGAGGGGACTCAGTCAGCAATAAAAACCACCTGTCCTAAAAATAAAAAGTTTTAGCTAGAGATACATATAAAGGGTAAGTGTATTTATAAGCCCAGATGTGTTGTTTATTACATGGTGTTTTCTCTAAAACTGGGCTCAGGGTACTGCATGGTGATGGGTCTCAAAGAAAAATGTTTCAAGTGGGAACTCTTGCTTTTATAAATTTACTCTCCTGTGGGTTCTAGTTAGGGGACCTCCATCCTTGATTTCCCCTCTGCCAATAATGCTCCATCTTATGCCACTGATACTCCATTCTCTGAAACTAAGGCTCCATTCTTTGCCAACAATGTTCCATCCTCTGGCACTGATGCTTCATCCTGTGCCACCGATGCTTCATCCTGTGCCACCGATGCTCCCTCCTCTGCCATCAATGCTCCATTCTCTGGCACCGATGCTTCATCCTCTGCCACCGATGTTCCATCCTCTGCCACCGATGCTCCATCCTCTGCCACCGATGCCCCATCCTCTGCCACCGATGCCCCATCCTCTGCCACCAATGCTCCATCCTCTGCCACCAATGCTCCATCCTCTGAAACTGAGGCTCCATCCTCTGCCACCAATGCTTTATCCTTTGGCAGTGAGGCTGCCAAATTTTCTGAATACTGATGCCTGTAGTGGAATATGCTGCTTTTCTGTCTGCTCTTAAGCTGGCCATACACTGTTGGAATTTCATTTGAACGTTCCTTTGAAATCGTTCATCAGAGCATTCAATGTTACCAACATTGAGTTAACTAATTGTGTTCAAAAGCCTTTGTTCACACTGGCCCAGAACTATATATTTTCTGAAAGTGGAGATCCAGGAGAATAAAATGGTGGCAGTAGCAATTTTTATGCCACATGATATAAGTGCAATGGTTTAGGGCTAATAATCGATTAGTTGACCGATAATTCTTTTCAACTAATCGATTGGTTGCATTAAAAACATGTCTCTCTCCTCCCCTAACTAACCGATAATGTGAATAGTTGCCAACTATTCTCATAATCGATTAGTTGTTGCAGCCCTACAATGGTTTACCAAATCCATATTTTCAGTAAAAATTATTCTAAAGTTAATTCTATCACGCACAAATGCAATATATTACCCAATGTTTTTGGTAAAATATTATAGATGAGGTTGCGGCGAGTAAATAGATATCAAACCCATCGAGCTTTAAAATTGCAACCATGACAAAATATTGTACCCAAAATTGACCACCATGGATTCTTTTAAAGGATAAGTGTACTTTTAGATAAAGTGCACTTATTATTTTTGTCTCTCTTCCCTGAACTAAACGATCCCACCCTCACCCTCCACAGATCTATACTTACTGAGATCCAAGGGTTGCTGTTTGTTGACCTCCAGCACTGGCTGCATCCATTTCAATGGAAGTCTATGGGGCTGTAGTGTCCAGGTGCAGCCAGCAGAGGGAGCATTGTGGCGCTGGATGTAAACAATAATGGAACTGTACCTGTTGTATCTCAGTAAGAGGGGGAGGGTGGGATCGCTTAGGTCAGGGATGGGGGAACACATGCATTTTAAAGTGAAAGCCTCAACATTAAAAATAATGAAAACACTTTTTGATATTTCATTAACTTTTTAAAGCTTATATGACATTTTTTTTTAGTGTTTGGGTTTAGATTTATCTAACATATTGGTTACACCTCCTTTTTGTCTATATATTCCCTTTTATTATGTCTTACTTATTAGGCTGTGCTCTAAGGCTGATTTGTTTCTTACTATGACATAAGGCTTCATCTTTGTGGAAAACAATCCTTCAGTATAATTAGCAGTGCTCACCTATTATGTAGATAACGATAGGCACAGATCTCACCACTAGACACGTGAGAACCTGTCATAACATAAACATCAGAACTTTTAAAAAACCCACTAATAATTAAAAAAAATACAATACAATTTTAAGAAAATATGAATAATCGTCTCAGAATAAATCAGAATAATTATCTTGTAATTTAAAGTTTCTACTAACAAAAAAACTACATTTAGATATTCTGAAATATATAAAAGATGCAATTTTGTCGTTGTGGGAAATGTACATCAGTAAAAATGAGACATTTTACGTTCAGTCAGGTGATTAAAAATGTTTTCTTCTTTATAACTACCGTAATAAAACACCTAATTGAGTAAAATATTGTAAATGTTCTGATAACCAGAATACAAGGTATTGAGAGTTTCCTTTCTCTCTGGATACTTGCTCATTGAGTAAGTATAACTGAAGCCAAAACTCTTTTAGTTTTGGATAGAGTAAGGGAGGGTTGTCACCCCTGTCGATTTTTTGTCTTTTCTGCCATCTGTGCCCCATTGGGGAGATTTCTCTTCACTTCCTGTCCAATAGCCACAACAGGAAGTGAGAGGAAATCCCTCCAAAGTGTGGGAAATCCCTGGTGGTCAGCCGAACTAGTGTCCCCATTGGAAGATTTTCCATCTATTCCTGTTCTGATGACAACCCAAAATTTGGGATTTTCTTTCACTTTCAGTGATAATGGTCACCGGGACACACAGAGGGTGAAGCTCCCTAACGGGGACACAGACAGCAATGAAAACCTGATTGGAATTTTAATCCCTCCCCACTGTATCCAAAATTATAATAAGAGGTTTTGGCTTCAGTTGCACTTTAAGTCTTAATTATTGTTCGTAAAATATTACATATTCACTTATTATCTATGAGCTGTATTCATGTGCATTCAAGGCCGGATCTACAATCTCTGCTGCCCCAAGGCCAGGTTACTCAATGCGTCCCCCCCCACCCCAATGGAGAATGGCAACAAGATGGCGGGGGCGGCAGGGTTGGTTTTAATTTTTTTCTCATTGTTTTTTTTAACTTTATCACTTTTTTTATTTTATTGCTTTTTAAAATGTTTATCTTTATTTTATTATCTTTTACTTGTTACTTATATTATTATTTTTACCAATTTTTATTTCCCCCCCCCCCCCCTCAACCTAAAGTAGAACTATGGGGTTAGGGCTTTTCCCCATAGTTCTCCTTAGGGTAACGGGAGGACACAAACTAGCGTCCTCCCGTCACCCTAGGCTCAGTATATAGGGAGCTACAGCTCGCGGTATACTGAGACGCCGCAGCTGAAGCGGATCCCGACAATTGTGCCGGGATCCGCCCAGCTGCGTGACTGACAGCTGGCTCTGCCTATCTAGAGGCAGAGCCAGCTGTACCCGCCCCGTCCCCCATCTGTTCCGCCAGTCAGCGCTGGCGGAGGGGGGAATCCAGTGATAGTTGAGAGGGGAAGGCTGTGAGTGCAGCTCTCTCCTCTCACTGTTTACACGGAGCAGAGCGGAGAATGGACGTTCTTCTCCCCGCTCTCCATCCTGAAGATCTCCATCCCTGGAGAGAGGTAGCTGGCTTGGGGGGGAATGTTGGGGGCCATGGGTAGAGGAAGGGGGGGTGTTGGGGCCGTCGGTAGAGGACGGACCTGATCATGGCAACATCAGCGAGATCACTTGTACACCACGAGCGCCTCCCCCGCTCTACATTTAGCTCCGCTTGCCCGATGCAGGGCCAAGTGTAGAAAACAACTTCCTGCCCGGCACCCGGAACAGCATGTCCTGGGCATCAGGGGATAGGAATTCAACACCCCTGCCGCCCCGGGCCTTGTGGTAAATCCGGCCCTGTGTGCTTTAATGTCAGCGCAATGTAAAAGATAACAATGTGACAGGAATAGACCATCTTTGGAACCAGGCTGATAATAAACTGTATATTGTAACTTGTAGAAATGTTTAAATGCTCAGCTATTGCCAGAGCCCTTTGATATAGACAAATATTCAATAATATTCAATAATGCTTTATTAATGATGACATCTATGAGATGCTTATATGCTAATGTTAGGTTCTTTATATAGTAACAGGTTCACTTGCTAGGATGATTCTGCAGAAAGATGTCATTAGAACAATGTCCCCGGAATGCGTTGTTGTTGTGCAGTCTGTAGAGAGTCGGCTCCTCTCCTAATATTGTACAGCGAGGCATTTCAGAGAATGGGTCACGTACGGTCAAGCTGGATTTACTCTCTCTGCTGCCCCAGAGCCAGGTTCCTCGATGCGCTCCCCACCCCTGCCGACTCCCCACCAATGGAGAATGGCAACTAGATGGTGGGGGCGGCAGGGTTGGCTTAATTTTTTTTTCCACTTTTTTATTTGATTACTTTTTAAAATTTTTATCTTATTATCTTTTACTTTTTTTATTATTTTTTAAAACTTTTAATAAAATTTCCCCCCCCCCCACTAAACTTAATTGCTATCACACAGGAGGTAACAAGCCCCTGTGTGATAGCATTTGGAGGCGACAGGTTCTTTCTTTATTGAGCTTGTCACCTCCAATACAGGAGTTCTAGCACAGCACTGTGCTGGAACTCCTGTGACAGCTGAGAGGGGAAGACTGCGAGTGCAGCTCTCCCCTCTCACTGTTTACACGGAGCAGAGCAGAGAACGGATGTTCTGCTCCCCGCTCTCCATCCTGAAGATCTCCATCCCTGGAGAGAGGTAGCTGGCTTTGGGAGGGGGGTGTTGCAGGTGGCGGGTGGAGGACGGACCTGCAGGCTACATACAAGTGATCTCGGCAACATCAGCGAGATCACTTGTACACCACGAGCGGCTCCCCCGCTCTATATTTAGCTCTGCTTGCCCGATGCAGGGCCAAGTGTAGAAAACAACTTCCTGCCCGGCGCCCGGAACGTCATGGGGGGATAGGAATT